GCGCGGAATTAAAAAAATCTTATTAAGTAGCATTTAGCTATGTTCTTTTACATTGTTCTACATCTGTGCTTTATTTCAACGATATACGTTGAGCCATCGATCTATCCAAATTTTCGCATTTACAACATTTAGAAATAAAGTATAAATATAGTAGAAGGGTTAGGGATCAGAATTACATCTAAAACAAAATGTAAATCTGTTCGCATTTTGTAATCTTCTGGATGACGGGTGTAAGTGCATTTGCTAGTTACCTCAGCACCAGGTGTGGTGAACGTGGCCGTACAGCTGCGCTGGCGAGCGTCCCATAGCCGGGCGCTGCCGTCCAGTGAGGCAGAGGCCAGCTGTGAACTGTCCCAGCTGTACTGCACGCCCGACACCTCCGCTGTGTGCCCACATAACACAGCTACACGCCTACAAAGCGACATCAACACACCAGGTAACAATGTTCTGAAAACATCAGGTAACAATCCAAGACATAGACGAGTGAAAACGAAAATATACCGACGTCACGAAGATATGACGCCTAACATATACTCTCAAGTTGTAATTAAACATTTATTAAAGTAGGGGCCGTTTGCAATAAATTTTATTTAATAACTCCTTTAACTTTATCACGAGCAAACTCCTGTGTAAATATTTTGGTTATTAAGTTCCTAGTAGGCGTTTTCAGATTAATTGCACAGTTATACTCACTCCTTGACTCTGGTATCCCACAAAGAGATGGTGCCGTCAAATGATCCCGTGACGAGGCTCTGACAGTCATTCTGGTCGAATTGAAGCGCTATCACTTCTGCCGTATGACCGACGTATGTGTGCACTTCCGCACCTGCATAACATCTACTATCATCTTATCTCATCACTTCCAAAATTGACAAACTAACCACATTACTAAGCGTTTAAAGTCTTTGTCCAATATCATTTTCTGTCACCTGTTACAACATCAAACAGTTTAGCAGTGCGGTCCATAGAGGCGGTGGCCACTTGGTGTGCTTTGGGCGCGAACTGCGCGGCCACCACCTCGCCGCTGTGGCCCCACAGAGTGGCCACGCACTGGCCACTCGTCGCCGACCACACCTTCGCCGACTTGTCGAACGATCCAGTTACCACCATATTACTGTCGACCAATTATTCAGAACTCGGAAATATTTTTTGTTAAAAGCTATTTGGGGCACTCATTAATGGAGTGTATGCGTCAAAAAAGGTTCGTCTACCCGTACACAATGCTATGTCAGTGCCTCCTTATTACAGGGAAGTGAGAGTTTAGTATAGCGGAGTAATTATGCGCATAAAATTAATATCGTAGAAATGCGGTCGTCAAAAGGTGTTACTGCTTCTTAGAGACGAAATTTACAGTAATTGATTAATCATTAAAAGTCAACAGTTTAACAAGTTCATGCCCATTACATTATTTTAGTCCAGTGATTGTGTGACGTCGTTCCAGTTAATTCAGCAATATTTTCGACCGCTCTCTAAAAATCTCAAGCTCAAATACGTTTATAGAATTTTTATAGTTCATTTAAAATGAATGAAAGTGAAAGCTATAGAAGTCGCGACGTAAGAGATTCTTAAACCAATCTTATGTAGACTACATTTCATTTCAAACTTTGGACTCAAAATTGATAAATGCTTACCAAATAGGATAATTAAATGCCACAGAATAAACGACATTCTGATGTCCAGATAAGGTCTTTATTTCAGTACCGGAGTCCACGTCCCATACCTTGCAGGTCCTATCATAGCTACCGGTTATGCATCTGAATAACATCGTTAAATTAGTGAATATAAAAGTTACAGCAAACAATTATTAGGTATAATATACCTTACCTATTACCAGCTCTATCAAAAGCAACATTAGTAACAGGCAGAAGATGGGTAACTAAGGTCTTGTATATGTAGAACCTCTTCCCCGCAGGACCTTCGTGCTCGATTCTCTTCTTGAGCGTCTCCAAACACTGCTGCAGCTGCTCCAATACATCCTCTGTTATTAGAGCCTCCTTCTGTTGGAGATCGTTTGCTATCTCCTTTACGTCTGAACTAATGTTGAGGTAGAAAAGTAAGTTCGGTTGATTTGACAGAAAATATATTAGGAATGTCGAGTTTTTTATATTGATGATAATTATAAAATCAAGAAAAAGGTTTCGCATGAATACCAGTTGTTTTTTTAAGTAATTCATAGATTACAAAGATGAAACGAGGATGAACTTACTTGTTATCTAACTCCAGGAGATCAATATCTTTATTTCTTACAACACCCTTTTTCGTGTACTCCAAAGTGATCCCCGGCGGATGATATCTCAGGTGAAACTTTAATAATTTCATGTTTAATTTGATATTTCAAAACTTGATAAACATTATTGAGTAAAATCGTTCAAAAGACGTTTGATTAGTTTATCAATAAAACGGTTGCTAGGCGAAAAAAGCCCGCTGTATACGAGTACGCTCATTTTAAACCGACAATTGAACAGAACTGTAAATAGCGGGCTTTTGATAGGCTAATGGGTAAGATACTGTCTACATAGATGAGTTGTTTGAAATAATTTAACTAGCTTTCGCTTGCGACTCCATCCGCGTCGTATTAAAAAACAAAACAAAAGTAAGTTAATGCGTTCTTCCAGACTCTGCTCTATATCTATGCCAAATTTCATCCAGATCTGTTCAGCCGATTAGGCTACAAACTCTTAGAAACATGCATCCATCCATCCATTTAAACGTTAGATAACATAAGCCCTACTTATAGATTATACAGTTAAAAACATAATAGTTAAAGTGCACGAGTCAAGTGCATGCAATACAAGCAGCCGCTGTCATACTCGCCTTTGCACAATACAGAACGCAATGTTTTGTAGTTTTGTAATATGACGAAATTACTGCAAACCTGCATCATATTAACCGATCGATGTTTTATATCGTAACATGTAACAACAACAACAATATTTGTTGTTGTTGTAACATTTAATAAAAAAAATTTTAACACCTAACAACAGCCTTCTAGAGTAAAAGTGTTCAATAGTGTAATCAATTCAATCTTACCTCAATTATTTCCCACAAATCTGATGTTTATGGATGTTTTTACTTCGAAGGAAAAATTTTCAACACATTTTCTTAGTTCGCACTAACATAAAATACTCCTTTGGTCGTATAAAAGGCACTTTCCGATATGCAAGCCTTGAAAAAAGGTACACAAAAGGGTTGTCGGTGTCCCACATCTTGTCGTACCCACCGGCGTGTTTGCGCTACATTTACAAAAACTACATACACAGCCTATGTGGGATACCTTCTATGCCTTTTGCAACATGAACAAATGTTAACCTACATTGATGAATTAATAGTTACAATAACACCCATTAATTGACAAAGATCAACACAAAAGACACATTACATTTTATTAGCTGTAGCTTGCGACTCCGCGTGGAGTTGAAAAAAGGAAATACCCTATGTGTTCTTCCAGGCTATCCTCTACATCTTCCCCCAATTTCACCGAAATCCGTTCTGCAGTTAACGCTACAAACTCTTAACAAACATCCATCCATCCATCTAAACTTTCGTATTTATAATAACACTACTTTTGAAAAATGAATAAACCCCTATAACATTTCGCGGTATTTCCAAAAAAGAAAACCTCCTCAAGCCCTTATTGCTGTCGCAGTTTATAGCTGGCTGGTTGTTTGTCTGGTTTGTACGCATTCACAATTTTATTAAAAAAAAAAAGCTTCGCATTCGCTTCTCAAGCCTGCAGTCTCACGCGCCAGATATGCTGCCGTATCCGATACTGAATCCATACTCGTTAACATTTCAGGATAACTGCAAAATATTTGCAAATCATTTAACTATATTTTTAAAATAAGTAAAGCGAAAGAAACAGCTAACTATATATCTTGATGCTTATCATGTTAAAGTAGTAAAAAATTCAAATTCAACAATTACGTAAAAAATAAATTCTGTTATTCTATTTTTATTAATATTATAACCACTTTTTATTAATTAAATCAAAATCAAAGTAAAGTTCAACGTAGATAAAAAAATCAATTGTGTATACATCGTTGAACAGATCACGTGTTAGTTTTTTCTAGCTGTAATTTTAAAGCCGAGGTGGTGGCGCAGCGATGCGTGAAAGTCTATTCCGATTGCACTCCGCATTGCCACCCTACACGTCCGGTCAAACAGGTTGTAGCGCGGT